CTGTAATGTTATTATAAGAATTTAAACTGTAATTCGTTTCACTACATTACAGGAAAAAGTAATCATGTTACTGTTAAACCAGCACGTGCACTAATAGACCCCAGGAGGTCTATCTCCTGGCCCTTTGCCCTCAGACTGTACAAGTGCCCTCTTGGTCAGCGAGAATGATAACTGCCTCTTATATACTCATTTCTCTGGATGTGTTTCAGCTCAGTTCAGCTCAGCCTCACCTCAGGTAGAGACTGTTTGGAAAGTAAAGCCAGGCTGCCTTGTGAAAAACTCAACACGTTTACTCTGAAAAATGAGTTTCTTACTCTCTTAATAAGACTGGTTGAAATATGCTGTTAACCAAAATTAATTTGGTTTTAATTTAGTTTCATGTTGACCGTTTTTCTCCTTGAGTAACTTCGTACCGCATTACATCTAACAATGATCATTTTGTACATGTCTCTTCAAAAAATTGGTTTCATATTGAAGAAACATTGTTTCCAAACATTTGAACGCTGTATAACAGTGTCAGTGCTGTAGTCAGGCATTCATGTCTGTACACACTGTATATTTCTTTTTTTTTACCAGGCTGTTTCCGTATACTGACCTCTAAAGATGAGTTTTACAGATACCCACTTATATTTGATATTCCATGATGCCTTACAAGTCAGGGAGAAGAAAAACATCACACACCAGTTGAGCACAATGCGATTGGTCAGTTCCATAATTAATTAACAATTTTGGTTTATTTTCATATGTTTCTATTGTTACCACCATGTGACACCGCTGTGCTGGAGTCTCTGTCAGTCAGTCAGTCACAGACATGCTGATATGATTTAAGATAAAAATAGACACACTGTGATTGAAAACTGTAGTGGATGTTGATTCTGATAAACATCCGTATGATGTGCTAGTCTAGCGTAGTAGTAGCACGGCGCGTTCTCTGACCTCGCTGACGTCAGCTCTGTGAAACCAGCAGCGTTTCAGCAGCTCAGTAGGCTATTATTCACTTTGTAAAAGACAAACTATGGCTTCAAAATGAGGCCTAAGTATTCGGAAAGGATTACAAACGTAGTAGTCGTTGTCAGTAACAGTGGCTGATTTTCATGCATTTGTTTCTCACTGTTCTGATAGGCCTTTAATAGTAGTCATCGGTTATCAGTGGTCAAATTTAAATACTTCTGTCTGATTAATGTTCTTTTTTTCTATGTTAACTTTTGTATATTAATTGTCAAATCTTATTCTTTATTCATATTGCTTTTGCCATGACCCAGGTTTTCCGTAAATCTGCTTTGTCACAACGCTCATTATAAAAAGTGCTGCATAAATAAATCTTGAGTGTCAGGATTGAAAAAAAAAGAGTTTGTAAACAATTAAATTAACCATTTTTGCGATTTTGAATGTTGTGTCTATCCATAAATGCATGGAAGAAAGGAGCTCATGGATCTCTGACTCACTGTTTGCACGGCAGTGCAAACCCAAACTACTCCAGTGTTGTACAATAAACTGTATGCATAACAAATAAATGAATAAAAATCTATACAGCTCTGCACAGACTATATATATTGGCACCTGACGATGACACCTATATTGGACATCCCATTCTGTTAATATGAAGTTGCCCCCAGTTTGCAGTTATAACAGCCTCCAATCCTTCCAAAAAAATGTTTTAATGTTCACTTGAACTAAGCGCAAAACCCTGAAAAACAGCCTCGGATCATTATCCCTCCACCACCAAGCTACTGACTCTGTGCATTCTGGTATGTAGTGTTCCTCTAGCATTTATCCATCAGACTGCCAGATAGTAAAGCGTGATTCATCACTCCAGAGAATATGCTTCCACTGCTCCAGAGTCCAGTGATGGTGTGCTTTACACCACTCCAGCCGACACTTGGCATTGCACTTAGTGATCTTAGGCTTGTGTGCAGCTGCTTGGCCATAGACCCCATTTCATGAAGCTGCTGATGTGCAGTTCTTGTGCTGATGTTGCTTCCAGAGGCAGTGTTGAACTCTGTAGTGATGCAACAGAGGAGCAGAGAGCACATTTCAGCACTCGACAGCTCCGCTCTGTGAGTTTGAGTGGTCTACAGCTTTGTGGCTGAGCTGTTGTTGCTGCTAGATGCTTTAATTTTACAATAATAGCACTTACGATTGACTGTGGCAGATCTAGCAGGGCAGAATATTCCACGAACTGACTTGTGGCAAAGTTGGCATCCTATGACAGTGCCACATTTAAAGCCACGGCCAGTGTTTTATAGTATGCACACTTTTTTCCTCAGTACTGAAAGATGTATATATGTGTGAGTGTTTATGATGCCTGTCCTAAGAGTGTACGTGTGTGTGTGTGTGTGTGCGTGTGCGTGTGCGTGTGTGTGTGTGTGTGTGTGTGTGTGTGTGTGCTCTCTGAGTTGAGCTGAAGTTCTCTCTCAGTTCTGTGTCTGTGCTGAACTCTGACTCTGGCAGTGGCGGTGTCTGTATGTAGCCCCAGAGCCGCTGCTCCAGAAGGCGTTGGCTGTGCTGGCGGCAGGGCCCCTCCCCCCTGCAGCCGTGTTGGCAGCGTGCAGGCGTGTGGGGATGCGTGCACGCACGCGTGTGTGTGTTGTGGTGGCACACACACTGCTGTTGGAGCCCGCGGCTGCTGTGAGCGGAGCGTGCCCTCTGTCACTCACGGTGCGCGGCCCTGTCCAACTGTCACTTCCTGACAGGCCGATAATCAATCTCTTTATTAACTGCTCTGCTGCAGACAGGCTGCCGCTCCGCTGGGGTCGGCCGCTCGGCATCGTGGGACAGCGCCACTTCCAGGCGGGGTCCATCCCCACCGCCCACCGAAATCACACCGGTGGCTTCGGAGGCCTCATCATCCCTGGTGATAATTTATGAGGAGGGAACCGTGTGTCGCTAACGCTGTCCGCCAGCCAGCTACCCACCCACCAGATTCCCCACCGAGGAGTTTTTTTTTCCCCCCCTGTTTTTCCCTCATTCTTCTTCACATTCAACATGCAAGCCAGAAGCATCTGTGTTTCCACTCTCGCTGTTTTTCTTTTGCTTATGAAGTACTCCCGCAGTAACCATGAAGTTAAGTCCGCTGAGTTAATGAAGAAATAGAATAATATGATAAGGAGGCAGCGTGTTAAAACAGTTTGATACAAAATGAAATGAACAGTTTTATCTTTACACCAAATGCAGTAAGTCAGTATTTGGTGTCTGAAGTTTGCTTCTTTAGTTTGCATTGAATCTACAAGGCTAATGTAGCTAACAAGTAACAGAATCTTATGGTCACCTGTTTAGCTTTGTGCAAAGTGCTCACTTAAATGTGGAAAACCAAATTTTCCTTACTTGTTTTTGAAACAAAAGAGATTAATGTAGTATGTAAACAATGAAAAAGTTCACTCCATACATGGAAAATAAGCTGCCCAATATAAATTATAAATATAAATCATTTTTTCTGTGATTTAATGAAAAACAAACACATTTACATGTATTCACCCATTCGACCTGTGAGTGTTTATTAAGTCAGCCAATCAAAACAGAGGTTATTGAAGTGTATAACTTTTTAAAGGAACAGTAAAAAAGCAACCTATTTAAGTTTAAAGCATAAAGAAAGGTTGGAAAATGATCATGTTGAAATGAATTGGTATTATACATTAAACCATTAATTTAGCATTACATTTACATTTACATCATTTAGCAGACGCTCTTATCCAGAGAAAGTTGTTCAGTATTTCTAATAGACTTTCTCATGTGGTTTGTGACACTGTGTGACACACGATTATCTATGAACATGGTCATGTAATTAAACCCAATAATAGAAACATTTATAACTATATATATATATATATATATATATATATATATATATATATATACTGTTTTTTTTATCAGAAATATAATTTCTGATTTTCATAAGACTTTATTACTTTGATTATGGTTACAGTTGCAAACAGAACCAGTTTCACAAGAAGTGTTAAAAGTGTCTCTTTCTGAAAGAAGAATGAACTATTATAAGAGTCTTATTGATGCTCCCCTCATTCCAGGCAGGGTTGATTCCTCCGTTTCCCGTGCTTGCCTCTTGAAGCCTTAATTCTGTCCATACTTTTATCCATGTTTATAGATAACAGTGTATCATACACATAATCAAACCAATTAGAGATTACTTTGCAACTCACAGTTTCAAGCATGGTGGAATAAAATGAAAATCTCTAACAATAATCAAACATGATGATTAAAGAGAACAGCATTAATAAGAGGTATATATATATAGGACATTGGAAAGTATACATAAGACAGTAAAGCCCCTGAGATTTTTCTAAGCAGCAGAGGCCTTAAAGTGGACCCTTTGAACCTTAAGCCATAGTAGGCCAGTGTATAAACAGGTGTTTGATAAGCACCAAGGGAGGTGCTGGGTACCAAAGATGCAGCTCGCCCTTTTTAATGATAATATTCTACAAAGACAACTAGACCTTTTTAATGGGTCGAATTTAATTGGGTCCAAAAAGTGAATTTAATAATGGGCAAAACAGGTTATGACACATCAGGAGAGAAAGAGGGGATCACCTCATCTCTGAAAAGTGTTTAAAAACATGGAACTTGGTACATTGTATTCGCATTTGGGTCCAGAGCCTAATGGCCAGGCTGAATTCACTTTGCCTGTAATAAAAATTGAAGGCTTTTTCTCCAAGTGAACCCAGCATCTGAGTCTTCTTTGAAAACCTGGGGTAGAATACTTGCTGGATGTAAGTGGTATGTAAGGCTTGATAAATATGTTTAACAAATAGTCGGGTATGGGTGATTGGTGTCACTCTACGCCACGACAAGCAAATGTGTGATGATTTAATCATGCTGTTCCCATGGTGCTAATGGGACCTCCAGTGTAAAACTAAGGAAGCAAACGTCCGACACCAAACATGCCCTGGCTAATCCACTACATTTCGATGCGGGGTAACTTGTGCAACTTTAATTTATTGCCGAACTGTCCCTTTAAATGTCTACACTGTGTTTACTGTTGCTCACAGGACGAGTTCCTGATCGAAATCCAGAAGACCCTCCTGAGCCGGATCTCTGAGCTGTGTGTGGCGAACGCGACGGCAGCCTCCTCGGCTTCTGTTTCTCCACGTGACGAAGAGGAGACGACGGCTCCCCTCCCTTCGGCCCCCGGCGCCGCCACCCAAACAGCTGACTAGCAGATATATAAGAATAATAATTCTATTGCAAATAATGATAACCATAAAACTCCAAATCCCTGTAATAAAGCTGAAGCCTCTCTCCCTAATGAAGCAGCAGCCTCCCCGCTGTTTCAGGCCTAATGTTTCCGCCGAGGCCTTTCCATAAAGCAATTTCGCGAGCCCACTCCAAATGTGAATCACCTAGAAATGAAGAAGAGAACTGTTCTCAAACCTCTTATTTCTCTCTCTCTCTCTCCCTCTCTCCCTCTCTCTCCCACTCTCTCTCTCTCTGGCTAAATCTGTGTTGATACAGTGGTGTCTAGTAAATCCTGTTTGCAAGGCTTCTATCTTCTCTAATACTCCATCTCTCACTCTCTCTCTCTCTATCTCTGGACTGTGTGTGTGCTAATGTAGCAGAACATCATCCGGCTGACAAAAAAACTGCATTTCGAGTTTCGCTTGCGTGGCTGAGAGAGAAACACAATGCGTGGGAAGGGAAACATATGTGAGGATGAAGAGGCCGCGATTTACTCTGTTCATTTGTTTACCTCCTATCTGATACTGCATTTAGTGCGATAGACTGTACATTGAAGCCCACGTAGGACTTCTTAAAGGTGTTACGTTTCAGGGCTTGACGTGAGCTTTAAGGCTGAATATGAAGGCCATATATTAGCAGACCTAGAGTACTGTGGAGAAGTCAGAGACCACCATTCATTTGATTACACAGAAGCTTCAAAAACTAACATCATTTTTTAGTATTTAGTGTGTCCATCCTTTGCCTCCATTCCTTTCAGGAGACTTGCTTTCGGTTTTTCAAAGAAATCTGCAAGGATGTTTATCCAGACCTCCAAAGTTCGGTCTTAGACGTTGGCTGCATTTTCTGTTTCTCACATGTAGAACCCAGTAATGTAATAATTTCCCAATAACATAATCACAACTGGAAATTTAATACTATTTTTCACTTAACCTTTGTGTGGTGTTGATGTGTTTGTTACTCAGTGGTCTGGTGGACCCACCGCATTTTTATTTTTTTTAAATCAATACAGCCATAACAGTTTATGTAAAAATTAATGTTTAAAATGTCACAAGTGTCCAGTGTAGGGTTCTCCTTTAGCAGCTGTAGCCAGTCAGCAGCCTGTCCATGTTGTCCACCCTCACACACACACACACACACACACACTAACAGGAGGCCATGTAGGAGGAGAACAGAGTGAAGGACACAGCACCTCTCCACATGTGTAATATAAATGTGTGGGGGGTGAACAGTGTGAAGACACTGAAAATGTGTTATTTTATATGTTCTTCACAGAAAATGAGCAAAGGCCAAGGAATCTGAGGTTGAAATAATAAATCGCATCATTTTTTCTCTTGGTAAACATTGAAAATGGGTCACACAGACATGAACACACAAGGCTTAGTCACGAATATAATAAAACCCAGTAATAGAAAAACTTGCGCAATAATGTAACACAAAGTCTGATAATGTAATAAGATTTTTACTGATAATGATATTTTATTGCATTATTGGGAATTTATTACATTTTCAGGTTGTCCATATGTAATAATTACATTAGTGAGAAGAACAGAAAGTACCACTCTTAGCCCTCTGAACGTGTTCTAGTCAAATTTAGTCAAAATTACTCTTTTTCTGTATCAGAAATATAATTTCTTATATAATGTGATTTTCAGAAGACTTTATTACTTTGTCCAGTCAAGGAAAGTTACAGTTGTAAGCAGAACCAGTTTCACAACTTTCTGAACTTTAATGCTTCCCTCATTCCAGGCTGGGTTGATTACCATGTTCAGCACAAAAGCTTGTAGGAGATCTTTGGTGGCTGCTCTTAAAATATTACATTATCCATTTTGAAAACAACTTTGAGCAAAATGATCACTTACAAATATAATTGATTCCCATTTATGTAATGTGGTTACATTATTCGGGTAAGTTATTAAAATATTGAATTTTATTACATTTTTGACCAAATTTGGTGCAAATTTTATTACATTTTTGGGGTTATATTCTGGGAAATGATTCGATTATTGGGTTCTATTCACAATCAGTGATTAGGAAATCTGGACTCTGGGGTGGTCAGTCCACTGTTCACCTTCTTTGTTTGATGTGTCCGTCTCCTTTTCTCAGTGAGGTTCTTCTTGACAGCTACACATCCTTTCAGACCCACAGCGCTGAGTCGTCTTCTCACAGTGGAAGGATGGACAGAAACACCTGTGGATGTTTTCAGATCTGAAGCAGCTTGATTTTCTCCTCTCTCTCAAAGATGAAAGCTTTAAGTGCTGTTTATCTGATGGGGGCAGTTTTGGGTGTCTTCCAGGTCTCCAGGTTGTTGTTAGGAGTCTTATTTTCTCTGTAGCTTTTGACCTTTTTTTGAACTCTAGTTTTGGAAACTCACTTCTTTACGTTTGACTTTCTCCTTCTTTATGCAAGAGGATTATCGTATGTCTGATTTCCTTTGAAACATCTCCTGAAGAACTTAATGGACCATTTTGACTGAAAATTAAATAAATGAAGGGTGGTCTCAAGCATATTTCACTATTTTTTGACATGCATAGACCCAGCGCAGGCTGAATGTACTGAATTTGTATTACATTTTAGTATTTAAGTATTAGGGCCGAATTTATCCAGTCTGCCTGAAACTCTCACTTACTCAGTGTTTAAAGGATCAAACTATTTTCTATATTTCCTGTAAAAAAGAGAAATGCATTAGATATTACATTTGAATCATCAGCCTGTGACTTTATTAGAAAGTATAATTAGCGTTTATTAGTGCATTTTTAATGTAATTATATTTAATTGTGTATTGTTAAAACTAAGTGACAGTCTTCTTTATACATTTCATTATTTTTTGAAGACTCGAAATTATTATAAATTTGTTCCTGAGCAATAGATCCCTTCAATTGTTTGAAGATAGACATAATAAAACCAAACCCAGGGCAGAACTCTGTTACTGTTGACCGTTTTAGGGCACGAGCTATTCTGCATATTTAAAAATGCAGCAGTTTTTTCCTTTTTGGCGAATACTAAATTACTCAGACATGTTTTGACTGACAGGTGAGGGGAGAGAGATGCGTTCAGTGAAGATCTCTTCCCCTCGTCTGGTGTGATTTGGGTTTTACGCAGGATTGCGCCCCTCGTTTACCGGCCCCCCACCCTCGGCACGGGGCAGGGGCAGATTGACAGAGCAGCATGGGGCCGAAATCCGCTGTGCCAACAGCCCCCCTCCCTGTCCCCAATCGCTACCTGATGTTTTTAACAAAGGCTTCATCTTTCCGGCTCCAGCCTGAACCCTCCACAGCTCTGGAAGTGACAGCCTCTGAAACCTGATCGTAGGGATGTGGGAACAGGTGCCCAGACAGTGGGAGAATACGCTGGCAGCAACTTAGGAGGATAAAACCTCAAACGTTATTTCATTTACTGCACCTTTAGTACCAGTAACTGTAATTCAGAGTGCTTCACAGACTGACTCAAAGACTTAAAGGTGGAATTCCATCAATTTTTCACCCCCTAATAATAATAATTCAGTCGGTGGGATCATTCAGAGTGGTTTGGTGCGAAATGGTTCAGTGGAGAGAAACATAACAGCTCAGATGTCCTTACAGTGGTGGTGATAGGAACCAGGGGTCGCCATGGCTACAACACAAATATAGACGTTTTATTTACTATCCAAACCCACCAGTGAACCTACACATCTTGTGAGTTTTTACATGGAATGTTGATGATGGGAAAATCGTGGAAAATCTGAAAACTTTTCTTTGGGGACTAAATGTATGAATGTATTACCAAAGAATATGTTTTAGGTGAAAAACTGTATCTCAAAACTATCATAAACCAGTGTCTCAGGCATCAGGCAGTGAATTTATAACCATTTCATGTAATAACTTTCTGTCAAGGAGCTTTTAGAGGTGGACGTCTGGTTCCTATCACCACCACTGTGAACAGTTCTGACTCTGCAAGTTTCTCTAGAGCAGAGCGTTTCACACCAAACCACTCTGAATGATTCTGTTTACATCTTAACCATATAATTATGCAGAAGTTGACCACTTTAAGACCTTTTACTCAGTAACTCCTATGATTTATTCTGTAACTGCTAAAAATATATGTAAGTTATGTAAATAAATGAAATGTGTTCCCTCTTAAACTGCAAGTGTCCCTTTAAGGGCACACATTTTAATTATTTACATAACTTATTCATTTTTTTAGTAGTTACGGAATGAGTCATAGGAGTTACTGAGTAATACTCTCAAAAGGGAGTTTGAAAATTGTGTACACTGTATACAGAAACAGTCGTTCACAGTGGTCTGATGTAAAATAGTAAAATAGGAACCAGACGTCAGCCTCTAAAAGCTCTCTCTCACGGGAAGTTACATACATACATACATCATCTAAACCGCTTATCCTTCTGGGTCACGGTGGGGTGCTGGAGCCTGTCCCAGCTGTCATTGGGCGGAAGGCAGGATACACCCTGGACAAGTCGCCAGTCCATCACAGGGCAGTCACGGGAAGTTATTACACAGAATGGTTATGAATTCACTGCCTGATGCCTGATGCACTGTTTTGTGAGAAGGTTTTGTCCTAAATGTGTTTTTACATAGAGTGTGGAGAGGTACATGAAGAGCATAAAGGCAAAATAGTTTCTAAGGATTTTTTTCCTTCAAATTTCTGATTTACAGCTGATTTACATCAACAGCTGTTCCATATAAATACTCTGAAGACACAAATTGTAAAAAAAAAATCGTTTAAAAGTAAGTAACCTGGTTGCCTTAAACATTTGCGTTCACTAAACTTAGTAATAAGTAAACAGAGCAATAATTCGAGTTATACTTTCTGTTGACTTATTTGAAGTTCAATGAAATAAAAAAATGTAAGGCAACCAGGTTGCTCACTTTTTCAAGTTCAAACATTAAATTATTTTTACAGTGTAGGTTCACTGGTGGGTTTGGATAGTAAATAAAATGTCTATATTTGTGTTGTAGTCATGGTGACCCCTGGTTCCTATCACCAC